TTTTCAACATTTTAACAAAAATGTAAAATATTATAGATGCGCAAAAAAATGTTCTAATGTTGTAGAATACTTTAGCAAGCCAGATATTAAATTATTGCGGGCCTTAGTTTGGCTACCACTGGTTTAAACCATTTAATAAATGTATAAGAATATATTTAATATATTATAAATATATAATAACTTACTGTATTGTTTCAATCTATTCTTAGAAATCATTGATGATTTTGGGCTACATTTGTAATAAGGAGAATTTTTAATAACAAATGATGGTCTTTTTGGTTTAGTACTGCTGGAAATGATCCCTAAAATATAAAAAAAAATATAGTTAGTTATAAGTTAATTTAGTATTGAATAAGTATTTAAATTTACTTTTATGATGCATAGGTGTCCAAATGGTAGTTTGTCCGTGATTTTGTGATACATTAAAAGATTGTTCAACTTTTAGAGGCGAAGAAAATTGATTTGTGTCGGTGTTTTTGATAAAAGTGGCATCATCAATATTTAATTTATTCTTTGGTATTTCTTTAAATTTTTCACAAAGGTTTACAGATACTCTAGTTGATTTTATATTATCAGGAGTATGGGTCTTAGCTGCAGTTGAAGCATCTATTGGCTTAAATGGTGATGTATTGAATGAAGTAAAAATTATATTTTTATCAACTATATCAGAACTAATACATTTTTTTGTGGTACTGAATGGAGATAGTAAGTTTTCAGCACTTTTTAATGGAGTCAAAAAAAAGTCATTAAATGGAGAATTAGTGCTAATTAATTTATCAAGTGATTCATCTAGTGAATCGTCAGTCATTTTGTCACAATTTTCACTTTGAGTATTAAAGGAATTATTGAATGTGGTGGTATTTTGATGATTTTTATCTGAATACTTGAGACCATATTCAGAATTTGTGAAGGTTGTGTTATGATCAACCATGTTGTTTTCCAAATTTGGTATATTTTCTTTTTCCCCAATTAAATAGGTTTGTCTTCTCATAGGCGACTCTAAAGCTTTAGCGCGAATAGGTTCAGATATTTTTGTAGCATTATTAACCAAAAAAACTCTTTCTGATGCACAATTAACTATTCTCATTTTGTTTTGACCACTATTAAATCTTTTTATAGCCAAGTTTGTATCTTTAGACTTTTCAAATCTTTTAAAAGTACCCTAAAAAATATTTACTATAAATTAAACTAATATAATATTGAGTTAATAATAAAAAATTAAATTAAAATATTGAGACCTTAACTATTAGGTGCAGATAAAAAACTTAGCTTACTTTTAATTTCTTGTTTAAAGGATCAATACAATTTCCAAAAATAACAAAATCATATTTTCTGTTGTTATCTACTTGTTCTATTCTAATCAATTTTCGCATATTTCCACATACAGATGGTTGCCAAGTAATTGATAGCTTACGTTGAGAATTTGGTTGTAAGGTAAATTCATAAACATCAAAATATATACCATCATTTGAAGAAGGTAAAACAAACTGTAAAATTTAAATTTAAATAATAAAACTAATAAGAAAAAAATTTAATTATATAAATAATTTCAAAGGAATATTAACTTGTCTAGGTTTATCAAATGAGTTAACAACTGTTAGATATCTAATCGCTGTTTCTTTAATTTTTATGTTTAAAAATTCAATTTGAGTCTGCTTTTGAAATGGTGCTAATACCATATAATAGTCAAGTACTGTATTTGCTTCATCTTCATGCTTTGATTTAAATTTCACTGGAGGTGAAAATTCAGTCTGAAAGTAATTAAATAAGTAATAATTTAACAAAATGTATTAAATTAAATTAAATAATGACTTATTTAAATCAAAATAATTTAGTTATATAAATTTATTTAGTTTTTTCATTTTTTTTTATTATTATACTTGACTTCACATAAAAATAATTGTGAAAATATATTCAACTTTTAAAGTTATATTGCTATTAATTGCTATAATTAATAGTTGCATGTAGAATTCAAACTTCTAAGTTTTTTATATAATATTGAGCATACAATTTTAAATAAATAGAAAAAAAATGAAGCTGATTTATTCAATAGGTAAAAGTTTACAGGTTTTTTTTTTTTTTGAATAATTGAGTATATTTAGTTTCTTTAATATATTTTGGATTATTTCGTAAATTGTAAAAATAAATAAATTATGTACCTATACATTTTTATAATTTCAAAATCAAAAGCCAGTATGTTTTTATTATTTAAAATTATAAATAAAACAAAATAGGTTAAAGCAAATTAATGAATTACAATATAATTGTGTTCTATTTTCATAATTTTTATTAGTTTTACAAGAACATATTCAGATATCCATTGATAGTTTTAACATATTTGTCTTATTACTAACACATTAACTATGTATCATGTTTGAATATACTTATTGTAACACTAAAAAAAAATTGAAAATTTAAATTTAAAAATAAAAATATTAAAATACGATACATATTTACATATGAAATTATACCAACACGAGGCTAAAAAAACTAATAATTTAATAAAATTGTAATGATGACTAAATTAAAGTGTATTTAATAACACAAAGTATATGATACCAATTATTAGGAACATCAGAGGAATAGGGTTCAAAAATAATTAGTTTTATCATACTACAATAAAGTACATATATAATATCAATATGGATTTTGTACTTTCCATGTGAAAAAAATAATATTTTAGGTATCTTAGAATCTAGACTGATTATATCACTAACATGTATACACATTTTATACAATATAATAGGCAAATCACATAATATTATAATTAGTGAAAAAGACAAGCATATAAATGTTACTGACAGTTCTAAGTTTATGAAAATATTTGTATTCTAGGAACCCAACTAGTACAGCGTTGTTTATAACACAGAACCTAACTATAGTATGGTTCTTTATACAGGATCCAATTGATATACAATTTGAATCTAGAAATCAAATAGTATAAAACAGTCAATTATTGGTATTAATTGTTTTATGTGAACAACATTAAACAATGCAATTTAGTGTCAATACAGTGAAAAATTTAAGATTGTATAATTTATTAGAGAATTAATTTACTTATCACATTTCAACTTTATTCAAAATCAAAAATTAAACTCTAGTGATGAATAAGTAATTGTACAATGTTGATAGGTACACAAAAGTTAACAAAAATAATTTAATTTAGAATATATACTCAAACTAAGGAGTATAGTCAGTGATCAATTAATACTCAAGGGTGTGGGCGTGTGGCTGAACTATATGGCAGGTATATTAATGGTTAACTTGATGGCAAGGACAAACAGGTATTTACCTGACAAAAACTAGTTGTCACTGATTATATTTCTTAAACGAGAACAGAGTATAAATTATAGCAAATAAACATTAAATACTAACATTAACATAAAACATACTTAAATAAATTACAAATTATAAAATAAATAAAACCGTAGAATGCAATGAAGCGATTAACCATCAAATTACAAATACTCATAGTATTTATACATTTCTAATATTACTTAAAGTATACATTTGATGTATTAACATTATTATATATATTAATTCTTTTATATCTCTTCATAATTTCCAGTAATTTAATGTTTCAGTAACTGCATTGTTTTTTGATAAGATATATAATTCTTAATTAATTAATTAATTAATTTTATAGAACTTATTAATAATTATTTTTTTTTTTTTTTAATTCTATAAATGTTTTAATAAACATTTCTTTTTGTTTATTATAAGCTACAGCTTCCTTGGTAAAATATTTAAACATAGTCATAGCAGTTTTTTGGGATTTCAGATTTGTATGCAATTTGTTGGCTGGTAAATTTGTCATCAAATATAAAGCTAAAAAATCTTTGTTTAATTATGGTCTATAAATATTAACGGAAAATATTTTCATAAACATTATAATAACAACCATTAAAGTAATATATTAAAAATAAATACTATTTGCATTAGCATTTCTGTTATTTGGTCAATCAAGATTCAATTAATGATACAAACTTTTTATTTAACGTAGTATAGAAATCTGTAGAAAGTTATAAGTATTTCATACTCAAGGTTAGGTTCTATTAATTAAAATTGGATCCATGAGCATTGATGAGTTAAGGCTATAACTATATATCATTAAATATATAACATAATATGATAGCATGTGTGCATCAATTATTTAGTTACTTAATAGCATCCACCATCAAGGCTTACAATGCATAATGTTAGAAAATGGGTTATTTTAAAATACCAAATTTTACCTATCTGTTGAATTTTAAATTAGTAGAGTATTAAAAGTATAAAAATAAGTTATAATACCTAACACATCTTGAGTTGTACCTATACAATCAGAAATATATTTGATGGTATACATGAATAAACTATATAAAATTATAATAATTAATTACTGAGCAAAAATCAGAATACTCACAACAAATTGAGACATCTTGAATGTCACTGGATACGAATCTTAAAAACAAATGGAATCAAACTTTAGCAGAATTATGAGTGGATCTTGGTAGGTGTGTTATCTCACGACTGAATGACCGGTCGTACTACATCATCACAAAATTAATAAAAAATCACAAGACCAATAAGATCGATATTAATATTAGTAGAAAACGATTTAAATCATAACTATACGTTGTAACTCGACGACGTCGTTCGATTAAGTACTGTACCGACCGTAAATTGTACGAATATAAGTTAGAACAGAAAGAAATCAAAATCATAAGTTCATAATAGGTCCGAGTCAACGAAAAAAAAACCGTTAAAATTTCAACGCTGTAGTTACTTGTTGTTGTCGTAGAGAGTGGTAGAGTCATTGTCCAATGACCGTAACGACTATCGGGCAGTTCTCTGGCCTTATGTTATGAACGAAATTGATAGGATGCTGCAGTGTCGCCAACATCTTTACTATGTTGGAGTCCTCGTATCGATCGTTTTATCACAAAGAGATGACTTTTGATAATGGGAAAATTGATACGTTAACAATAATGAGTCTTTATCACTTAAAATACTTTTGATTGACATTAATACATGATATAAGTATATAAATTATATAAACTAATGACTACATATTTCCAGTGATTTGTGGCTTGTGCAATTAAAAAGAAACTGCATCCGAGTCCACAATAATTGCAAATACTCAGTATTCAATAGTTCAGTACTCAAAGGTCGTAAGATATTTCGCTATCTACAATTCATTCGTTAAAGGTATGTGCTGCTTGTCAACAGTTTCAAAAGTACAAGTTTTTACATCAATTTTTTTTACAGTTCACACGTTTTCCTCGCAAGTTAGGTCATAAAGTATTGCTTTAAGTTCATGATTTTAAGATAGTAGGTACTATAAGGATTCTGGTTGACTAGGAAATTTATTTATATGTTAAAACCTGTCTGTTCGACAAAGCGTTTATACACAATTGATTATAATCAATCATATCAATCATGTTCAAAAAAGAATTTCGTATCAAATCGAGTGCTCCGCTAAAAGGCGCCGATCAGTAAATATTCTTTTTTTACTAAAAGTTAAATTTTAATGGTAATGTTATAATTTATGTTTGTATTATGATTTTAGAAAGAAACTGAAATCAACAATTTGCAAATATTTTAACTTGACCAATGAAACGCTGGATGAATTTTTGAATCATAAGCAACTGTCTTTGTTGAAAATTATAACCTACACTAATGACATAATCAAAATTTATTGTGCTCAAGAAGTTGCGTTAGTTTTTGATCATAAAGGAAAATATTATCCAACATTATTTATGGTTTGGTCATTTCCTCACATTGTTCCCAGATTAATAATACACGAGGATTTGAAATCAAAAATTAATGATTTAACACAACTTACCATAAAAGATATAACTTCTATAAATAATGATCATCTACTAATTCAGTTGCCTGTTGATCAGTGTGTGAGTATATGTACCAACTCTTGTGAAAAAATTATTGCTATTGGATACTTAATTATTGATGGCAATACTATAAAAAACCATGAAAAGAACAAAGACGTGTGTTTAAAAGTGTTACATTACCACAAAGATGAACTTTTTAAATCAAACATGGTAAACATTATACCTGATGTAATTTCAATGTTGGAGCGTTCTTTTAAAAATGCTCCTGAATTAAATAATGATTTACCAAATCAGTTTGAAGATAACCAAACTGCTATTGAAAAAATGGATGAATTACTAATGACATGCTCTTTAAAAGCGCTGAAATATTGTATTAAAAAAGAAATGTTGCCAATTTTAGCTAGTACATTTTACAAGAAATATGTTATGTCATTTTGTCCTGAAGGAATAGAACTTGATATTAAAAAAACTAGTTTCAAAAAGTTATCGACATTTTTACAGTTATTGGATGTAGAATGTATAATAAAATTTAATGTTGGTAGTAATGGTATAGCTGAAATAACTCAGGTCATTCATAATAATAGCAAATTTCAAGAAATAAATATTGAAGAAAATCCTGATTTGAAAGAAAATAATGATCAAAATACAGTTCCAGTAAAAGAAATTTATGTTGTGACACCAGGATTACAACCTATATTTTCTGAATTTCTTTGTCGGTTTGTTAATTTTCTTTAAAACTATCAATTGATGATATCATTAATGAACTTTACAATTTTTTTTTCTAGGAAAGGTGATGAGTTACCATTATCATCTATTCGAAGATATATTACAGAATATGTTAAGAAATACGACTTGCAAGATAAAGTGGACCCTTCGTATGTAATTCTTTTATTTTTAATACTTAAGTTAAAAATAATTTAAATAATTGTTTTTCTACATTTTTAAGTATTTTTTTATTAATTATTTAAAAATATTGAGTTAATATTGATATAATACTTATAGTCTATATCAGTAATTTTCAACTTTTTTAACAATGTAGTACACTTCTTTTTCTATAAAATTTTTGCGGCACACCAATTCATATAATACGTGAAGCATATATTTATATATATATATATGTTACGAGCAAAATAGAAAATTCGGACAAAGTATACAGTGACCGGGCATTTTATACAATGTCCGAGGTATATTGGACAATGTAAATTGTGAAGTATTTATACAAAATAATCTGCATAATATATTATGTTTTTATTGCAAATTATTAATATTATATAATATAATATAATATATTAATATTATTTTTTTTTCTTATAAAGTATAGTTATATGTTACGTCTATCCTTTGGTTAAACACTAATGACATTTTGTGAATGCACTATAATACTATATAGTATATAGTATATAATATCCCGATAACGAAACTGATAAATATCTTATCTCATATAGATATAATTTTGGTACGTACAATTTTACTTTAGTTGTAGTATACTGTCGTCTGCCACTCAGTTTATATTGTGCAGTGCTTAAATAAACATTTATTTATTTTCTACATTTTATTTAAAATGGAAAAATTTAATGCGAAATTGAATATTGTGTTAAATGCCCGAGCATTGTATACATTGTCCGAATTTTCCACTTTGCCCGTAACACATATATATATATATATATACACAAAATTAACTCTATTAATAGATTTATCTATTACCGGTTGAAAACCATTGGTCTATATATATTATATATTTAAAAGATAATAATACAGTTAACTCGCAGTATATTTCAAGGAACCATGAAAAAAGTTTGTTATATTGAGAGTTTGTTGCATCAATATCCAATTTATATATTATAATATTTTCAAAGAAATGATAGTTTTGTTTATTAAACTAAGCTTCAAGTTGACCATGTATAAATTTTACATTTAATTAATTAAATAGTTAGATTTGAATTTTATTTTTGAATATAAAAATAAAAATATGAACATGTAATATAATAAATTGTACATCTGTATCAACACCAATCAATTTATTGGATTAAACTTAATTGAACTTTTTTTTATATAAGTATAATATTGGTGGTTTAATCCAGATCTACCACTTAATGCCGACAAAATTCTCAGAACTAATGAAATAGTTTTTTCTAATACATAGTTTTAGAGAATACTCATAAACTATAAGCTATAAAGCTTTTAAATATGAAATTGATAGTTGTTTAAATAATGAGCTTATTATGTTCTTAAAGTTATGTAAAAGTTGTCTTATCATATCTAGTAATCAAATAACTTGTGTAAATCACTTCAGTATTGCAAGTATTATTTTTAATTTTTTATGAAATAATATATCTTCTATCCAATAATATATCTGTGCTGGTATAATATTAGTATTTAATATATTTTAATAACTCAAATGATGTATTTTCTTGTTTTTGATTTCCTTCTTGTTTTTTTCGGATGCTGCTTAATCTGAACAAAAACTTCTATCCAATTTCTTCATTAGTATTAACTTCTATAACATATTTTGTCTTAGGATTGTGAATACAAATGATGTCTTAAAAAAAATTCTATCACAAAGAAAAGACAAATCTTCAATAACTTTTAAAGATTTAATTGAAGAAGTGACAAAACTAATGCATCGAACTGAAATATCAGTTCTGAATACAGATACCAAAAAAAATTTAAAGAAAAAAATAAATAATATTGAAATGACTGTTAATAATAGAAGTGGAAACAAAAAGGTTTGTTTGTCAGCATAATAAAATATACTGTAATCCAATAAAATTATTAATTTTAAACTTGCATCATTATTTCAGGTAACTCTAGTTAATAATTTAGAGCTATATGGTGTCGATATTTTAAAATTTAGTAAAGAATGTCAACATGGTGTAGCTGCGAGCACAACTATTAATGATATTCCAAATGCACAAAATAGACAAGTCCAAATTCAAGGCTCTCAAATTCCTTTTGTCTATAAATTATTAACAGGTAAGTAAATATTTAAAATGTTTAAAATATTTAGTATAATAATAAAAAGTTATTTGCACATAAAAAACAGATTTTCCTTGTAAATAAGTACAAAAAAAAAAAAAAAAAATCATTAACCCAGATCAACACTGAAAGTGTTGTTCAAGCAATCATTAAGATGTTATTAAAATAAACACCAAAAAAAAAAAAAAAAACAATAAATCTATGAATTAGACTATTAGACTAATAAATAAATAATTGGTTGATAAAATAATAGTTATAAGAATACTCTTCATTTAAATGAAAATTTTAGACATTTAAGGTCATTAATAGAAGTTTGCAAAAATTCTATGAAATACAAAAATTACTTATATAAAGTACTTTATACATCCAATTTTTATTTTATAGAAAAGTGTAATAATAATCATGTATTGAATATGTTTAAGTTCTAAGTTTTTCAAAATGTAAAATATCTGTTTACCTGATAACTACTCTATAATATTTTGTTTAATTAATTTAATTATATTGTTTAATTGAGTATATATTTTTCCAGATCAATATAAAATTCCTGTCAAATTTATAAGAGGACATGAAACTTATATCAAGAAACAAAAAAAATAGTTTAAAAATAGTTATTTTTTTAAACTTAATAAAAAAAAAAAATTTTTTTTAAAGAAAATGGTTTTCTTTTCTACTATTCAACCCATGAAATGATATACTAACTACTGTATTAAATTTGTATTCTTATAGATTAATTTTGTTACTATGATCTCTTTTGTTTTTATGAAATTATAAGAATAGAAATATTTTATTTTTAATGATTACATAAATTTATTACTAACTAATAAAAAAAATATTTGTTTCCTTTAACTTATATTATTATAATATTAATTATACTTTTAAAAATAACCATATAGTCTCTTTATATTAGGTGCAAAATATAAAAATTTTACTTTTCATAAAAATTATTAATAATTACTTTAATTTCTTTTCCAAACATATAACATTAAAATTTACTAATACTAACCAAAAAATAATTTTAAAAGTATTATAATTAAGGTCTACGATTTGAATGCCCTAAAAAATCTCAAAAAATCCACTATTAAAATGCATTTAAATTATATTTATGATAGCTTAAAAATTAGAAAAAACTTTTCTAATAATATTACAGTGTATTTTTTTTTCAAAAGTATTGTTTGTTGTTACATTTTTAGTACTGTTGTACTTTGTTTTCTTAATCATTCATTCTAAAATAATAATTTAAAAAAAAATTGTTATCGACGATAACTTGTTGCTCTATATAATTTATTATTTGTACTGTTAGCAGTTTGCCATAAGTTTTTTGTTAGTTGCAACAATTTTCATTTATTTTATTAACAAGTTGTGAAAATACATAAAACAAACTAAGAAAATGCAGTAAAATTGTCAAAAAAAATGGCCTATAAATGTATTTAAGGTTAATTATGTAAAAAAATTACTTTAAAATAATCAGGATCGCCCAAAACACATTTTATAGTTATGAACCAATATTTCAAGACACCAGGAAAAAAGATGCCTAGTCCTAAAAATCCCAGTCCTAATTATAATTATAAATATTTTACTTTATTTCAGTTTATTTTTCTCAATAAAATTACTTTTGTTTTTAATTTATTTATTTTAAAGTTATGACTATATTACAGCAACACATTTGAAAATTCAATAAAACTAATTAAGTATGTAGATAATTAATATTTCAAGACTAGTTTTTTATGAACCATAATGTTTAGTTTATACTAAAGTCTGCTGTTACAGAGTTATTTTAACTAGATTATTGTTATACTTTAAAAAAATATCAGATTTTTTTGGTAAATTGTGTTTATTAATATAGCTCTTAATTTAGGCAAAATAAAAAAAATTAACTTTGAAAATATTGGAAATAAATATAAATTTAATATTTTTCAATATTCACATAGTAAATTTTATAAGTTGACTTGTACAACATATGTTTATTAAATGTTTATTAAATGTCTATTATAAACTTGTTCCATTTTTTTATTACAATCATTAAAAATGAAAGTTAAATAATATTGTCAACTTCAAATATATAAAAAAATAAAGTTATGATAATGTATTTTTAATAATTGCATATAGATGTGAGAACAACTTATGTGCTGTAGAATATATTTTTATTAACATTTATCGAAAAATTTCTCATGTCTAGGGCTCGGAATTATATGCACTATAAACTTACTAAATATGCATGCATATGTATGCACATGTATTAATATTTATTTTAAATATTTAAAAATATGCGAAATTATGCAAAAGAAAATCGATTAAAAAAAGTCTTTTATTTTCATTAAGTATAAATAAATAAAATCGAATGAAAGTTATGCACACACGGATTACGACAAACATGATGAATATATAATTCACTAAAATCTACTCAATAACAGATTACTACTTGTCCCGATAGCCGATAGGTCTCATATAAAATAAGAAAACGACTTCGTCAAATTACATGGACTATAAATATAACAATAAATATGCTATTTTAATTAAAATAAGAAAATTTTTACATATTATACATATAAAAACCGTATATATGCAATAAAAAATTCGTAAAATACAGAAGTATGAAGGGCATGTCAAAAAATGACAAAATAAAACTTTATATTTAGGATCAATTAACTACAAATTAAACTTGTAGCTTACCTACATGGAGTAATATTACTCTATGTTTACCTAGCTATTTTTTGGACTATTTAGAAAAAATATGCAAATTCATATAAATCCGGACCCTACAGTAATGTTTATAAATAATACAATAAGAGTCAAATAGTCAAAATATTTTGAAAATTATATCAAGCAACTATAGAAAATAATTAAATAATAATATAATCTTTAGATATAGTACCTTATAGTATAAGATCTATGGATATATATTTTAAGTATCTATGTATATTTGCTTTTGAATTACTATAGAAAAAATAAAAATCGTTTGGAGAGATAATTATTATGCTGGTGAATATCTGTTATTGTAAAAATTTGAATTTCAAATGCTCATAAAAAATTAATTTGACTTACGGTAAAATTTTTTTTTTTATTAAGGTTACAAAACTTAAAAAAAAATAAATATTGTATTAAATTTTCATATTCTAGGTATAGACAGAACTTTTCTATGAATTTCTATCTATAAAATAATTTATATTTCACAAGCCTTGTTTAAGTTTAAATTTTAAATACTTGTTACTTGTAAGAAATATTGTGATTATAAATTATAAAAACAATTTCTTTTTTAAAATTATTTTTAATACTTAATTTTCATAATAGAATATATTTATTATTTGTAACATGTTAATATTTTGTTAATATTAACTTTTAAAATATTATCAACTTTTTTATTTATGATTTATGAACATTATCAGTAACCGTTACTACTTACTGCCCAACTTTTTAATCCTAATCAGCTATAATTGCTATTCCGACTTCATTATTTTTATACTGTAACACCTAATGACGAATAAAATTAACATCGAAAATTTCGTTTTTACAAACCATAAGCAAATATATTTATATATGTTTTAGTTTTTATTCACTAACGGATTATAAAAATATTTTATTGAATCATAATTCTTGAAAATTAAGTACAAGATCCCACATAAACTGTTATTCTTGTATGAGTATAAAAATATTAAAAATACGTAGAAAAAATTTTTTTTATATGCATTTAAAATTAGCATCTTGACAAAATTACGCATTTAAATTTAAACAATAATACAACGATATCAATTGCTTTGTTAAAATTTAAAATAATTATTCTTAAGAACGTGTATTCTTATAATACTATGTACAATAATTATTTACAGTAAACTAAACGCAATGACATTTTAGATTTCTTTTAAGATATTATCTATTAATACTAATTACTATGAACTTATTTTTACTGTTTTACGGTATTCACAGAAGATATTATTAAATTTTGAGTTATATAAATTGATATAAAATAGTATAAATAAATATTATTACAATAATTAAATATCTACTAATAATACAATAAATGCAATATTTTCAGAAAAAATTGTATTAACCAAAGTTAACACTAAAGTCTAAAAATAAAATAAATGAGTTTATAGCTATATCAAAAAAGGTAAGGTAGGCAAAAATTATTTTTGGTGTACAAAGATACATCATTAAACATTTAACACACTCATAACATAATAGTGACCCAACACCTAATGTAAGTACAGCAGAGCTCACTTACGTTACCTACATTTTTTTTTATAAATATTAAAAAAAAATTCATAAGAAAAATTTTTTAAAAATTTAACACTAAATTCCAAATGAATTTTTTATTAATCAACGAAAAAATATCGAAAATTTATAGCCACAATACTTTTTATAAATGTTTAAGTATAAATTGTTGAAAATTAAAAATAAATGTATGGAAATTAATAAAAAAAGTTTTAGGTACCTACCTACCTAAGATTTGAAAATTTAATACCAGATTGATTTTAAGTAATTCATACCGAAACTAAAAAATATAAATTAATATAAAAATAAACACAATTTTTTCATAGATATTTAAAATTCAAATTTGGTTGAAATTATAATATTTTAATCATTATGAATAACGATGTTAATTATTTCATAATAATTCAAAATTCGCGGGGTGTTAAAACTTTTACGTATTTAATGAATTTTATTATATTTTATACGCAATGACATTTTTAAAATATATATTATATATATACATTCATTTTAAGGTACCTAGTATCTATTTATTGTTTTAAACCATAAACCATAAACGGCATAAACCATAAGCTCAAGCCAAGCCCACCGGTCTACTATTCTCAGTAAGCAGGCGGCCCATAAATAGAATATAAAAAAAGACATTTTTTTGCTCGTTAATTGTTTAAAAAAACTCAAGTATCTTATTACAAAATTAAGACGTGCGGCCCACTGTGCTATAGAACAGTAGTACAGTGGCCCAGTCCAAGCCTAGTTCAAGCTTAACTAAAGTCTAGATTAATATGTTTTGGGATGTTCAAAAAGTGAAGAGCTCGTAGATAGCTAGGAACATAATTGGTACTTACTTTTTTTTCAGTATACAATTTAGTAAAAATTATAAAATGTTTTAATTAATGATAATATTAATTTTAAAATAGTCAAATTTAATAGGTATTAATTTGATTTAATAATAAACCTATGTACGAGTACACACTACACAAGGTAGTATTGATTCAAAAGATAATAAAAATAATATAACGTAGTATAAATGCATATTATTATAATTATTAAATTAATTTAATAAATTCAATATGTTTGAAAAATATTAAATCAATTTACCATAGAACCAATATATGAACCTATAATAAATTATTGTATTATATTATTGATATTAATAAACATAACATGAAATATACTTAGCAATGTTAGTTGACAGACAGCCTCTGTTGAGAATCGTTTTTCGAATTTTAGATTTTTGCACTGTGCTGGAAAAAATTGGTATTTTGGAACACAATATACAAATTACCTAATATTTATTAAAGTCAAATTAAATACCAAACTTTTTCGCTATTTTTTTGAAATGTATACAACATAAAAGTCTATAACATTAAAATTATTATAATTTTTTTATTGAATTTTATAACATACATTTTTGTGTTTTAATTTACATTTATAGAATATAAACTAAATTTCTTGAGCTCTGATACTATTTTGTATTAAATTAAATTTAAAAATAAAAATACATGGTAGATCGTAGATATAAACGTCACCGTAAATAATATATTGAACTAAAAGTTGTGATAGATAACATTGTATGTTAAACCAGAATTAATTGTTTTAAATCAATGCAGAAATTGCATTGCAATACATTTATTTTTAGCAATTCAATAATAAACAAATATTTATGGTTATAAATAATTCGTAGTAGATAATTTAATATTATATATTATATAAATATGTATTCTACAAACAGGTATAAAAAAAAATGAATAAATATTTGACTGTAGAACTAATAATTATTTATTTATATTTAATAGTATATTAATATATTTTATTATTTTTATTTGATATATCAACATAAGTCATATACACTATTTAAGAGGTTACTACCTACACTCATACGCAATGTTTCTGTTTTAAAACATGGCAAAATTCATTATGGATTTATGTGTTGGTTGCTTTAATATTAGAGTGAATTATTATTTAACAAAGTTAATGGTAAAAATATTATCAATGATTAAAAGTAGGATTTATCTAGTTTAAAATTAAAATATCGAAAAATGTCCAAAGTTTAATCACTCATAATGTTCTTACCTGCATTTTGATAATATATCAGTTCACTCTTATATTAATGCTAAGAACACGTCATAATGATTGAATTTATTGAATGAAAATTTACTGTGTTGTGTGTTTTTTATAAATTGTATAGATTTATTTAATTATTTATTTATATTATATTACATGCGTATTTATGAATTAATGAAGGTGACAGGACCTCTCTGCCGTAGACTAATAAATTTTAGGATGTTTGTCAATTGTTATAAAGGGAGCAAAATGAATATGAATATATGAATACATTAATGATAAAATATATTATTTTACCGATTGTGTTTCGGCCGTGTCCGTTTTTATCGGTCACCATAAAAATGTTAGTTTGATTGAACTCAAACTTGTTTCATAGAATAGAATATTGTATTTATTTGTATAAAATTATTTTGCTAATTAAAATAAATTTGTTTAAAAAAATATTAATTCAGTTTATAAACGATACGTTATGCATACGGTCGCTGTGACTATCAATCATCAACATTAAACGTGTATGGTGGTTTTATGTTTACAAAATTAAAGAGACAAAACGATTTTATTGAATTTGTTCAGTGATAATTTTTTTATCTATTATTTTTTATATTTTATTATAATATCATGTACAATTAACTTTACCTAATTAACTATTTATTTTACTAAACTAATTAGTAATTATATCGACAAATTAGAATTCAAATGTTAATATTTATCTATTAGTTTACACATATATAGTATTTATATGTATTTTTATCATACTTAGGTTGAAATTTTAACCAAGATGTCTCCCTTTCACCCGGTAAATATGTTCTGAATCTACGCCTGAAAAATGATAAAAATTATACTTATTAAAATAATCAATTATATTATTTAATTGCGAAAAACAGTAGATATTTACATGATATTTAATAAAATGTGAAGTATTAGTTGATTATTTTAAGTTAAAACTCTAAAGTATACATTTTTTTTTTTTAATGAATAAACGCTCAACTACCATATAAATAAAATGTAGTTAAAGTATTATTTGTTTTAATTAATACATTTTGATTTTTACATTTTTTATTTAACTACGGTATAAAATAAATTTTAAAAATGTCCTAAATTATGTAATTTTAAAATAAACAACTGTAGGCCTCATAATATGTAAATTTGATTAAGTATGTCTAAAAAATTCGTGAAAATTTCAAGTACCTAGGAATTTCCATTTTTCAATAGATTTTTTTTGGTTCTTAAATTATTTAAAAAAGTATTTTGGATTTTTTTACGTTTGACCCCTTTTCCAATGAACAAGGTAAATTTATACTTGATTTGTTATTTTCATAAACCACTTTTAATATTAAAGATTGATGTATTTTGTCTGCTTTAAAAATACAATTGATAAGTTCACGTAATATCGTAAAACTAAAATGGCAATAAACATTTATCGCTTCGCTTGGAATCTAAAATATGCTTCAATTATTGTCAAAATTAACTACAGTAAGCCGTTTAAAAACGTCTTTTCGATATAGTCTGATAATCTTCTGGTACATTATTTCCTACAATCGAATGTGTCCATGTGACCGTATAATAAAATGTGCCTCACACGTCTGTACGTCACACCGTAGCGGTGGCAGTACCTACTATCGCCCAAACAGCATAATATGAAATCAATAAACGGAAATACTAATAAAAACAAAAATTACGTATTGTTGGTCGGTAGTTAAGTATAATAGAGCCAGCTGCAGCTACAGGTGGCTGGTTGGTGAACCTCCAAGTATATAATTATGAATTGTATAACATCACAATAATAGTATAACACAATATTTGGTATCATGACGCGGCCGTTCGGCGTTCACCGTCAGGTAGATGGAGTATCTATCTACCCATACCTATAACCAGTAACCGGAGTCGAGCGTGCTACACGACGAGACAACAATATACAACAACGCTGCAAGGTAGGGCGGACTGGCACCTGTTCTCGTCGGGGCCGTGTATCGCCGTGTATTGCTGTTGGTACGTGTTATTATTATCATCATCGTCACCATCATCGTCATCGCCATCATTAATCATTACCGTCATCGTCATCGTCATCGTCGCACTCGCTCGGGGGAGCCGTACAGGTATATTGTTTATATACTATATAAACACACTCCGTCGACGACGGTCTCGAGCGGCTTTCACAACCGCTGCAACAGCGCGCACACGCGCACGCACACGCCGACGGTCGACGTTTCGCATTTCGCGTTTTTGTGTTTTCTCCGCCGCCGCCGTGCGTGTTTCTCTTTTCCCGTGTCAGTACAGTCGCTGAATCCGTCGAAATCTCTCGCGTAGTACGCCGCCCGTACTTGGTACATTCGTCTCCGTTGTCGATAATTTGCACCAATATCATATCATACGAAGAGAGTTCCGTGCTTTTATTATTCTGACTCGCGGCGCGTGTATCGATCGCCATTATTCGTCGACAGTCGATATAATATTGTATTATTTTATCGTGTGCATATAATATAATATCGTAGGTAGAGCCAGCCAGCCAGGTATTATATAGTCACTATATAAGCAACACGGCCGCCCGCACTCTCTCTCCGTCTATTTCTTTCACCTGTTCGCACCGTCCGTCTGCTCGGGAGTCGGTAGGACAGAAGATAATTAATAATATCTCAAATATCGTCATCGCAAATGATGTTTATTAAATTATAGGGTTGCTATTTGAATATCTCAGTGGTCGAGGAAATTCGTGAACCGAAAACACTCGAGAGCGACATCCATCACACATCATCGTCATCGTCAACGGCGTAACGACGACAGCGAATTTCCACTGCAAAAATATATCTATAATTGTAACGACTGTGTGCTATCTTCGAGGCGCGTGTCTTTGCAGTAGATTTAAATATCCAGATTTATAAATATTTCTACTGGTTCACACATGTTTGACTCATCACCGCTGTTGGTCGTTGCTATCGAGGTATGTAAAACAAGTGATTCCGTCGAATTCGTTATTTAATGGTTTTATAGGCTTTTATTTATATCAGACGTCGCAATTGAACTTATTATAGCTAATATTTAAGTTTTTATACTTAATAAATTGCAAATAGTAAATAAAAAGTTAGATCTGTGTCTGATTGCGATAGTTGTTATAGTAATGTGCGTGAATCGGGTAAAATACTTAAAGGATAGTCGATGTATTTTGACGTATTAAAAATTGTATGGGTTTTGTATTATTTATTCAACAAAAATCATATTTATTATTTGAATCACGTACAGTGTAATCAATAAAATAATTTATAAATAAAATATTATACGGACAGTTGGATAAATATACAGTTATAGGTAGAAACCATATAGGTAAAATATCCGCGGTCTCGATAGAATGTGTCTTTTGTATCACATAAATGTCTGCAATAACAGTATCGCAGCAATATTCCTTTCACTGGAATATGCCAGTATACGATCATGTATTTTATATAATATATATATGTATCTATATTCTCTGAGATCAGACGTACTTACGATGTAACAGGTGTAAAATATGTTAGATAATAGGTACATCTGGCTAGATTATCTATGAATATGATATTATATATAAGTGTGTGATGAAAATCACTACGAACTGAATCAAAATCGCCAATCACTTATATTTTCCACAACGTTGAGATTATTCAAAACTATTATTCATTTTATATAAAAATAGTAAAAATGTCCAAACGAATATGGGTACGATATATGCTCGTTTTCCATATTATTGATCGCTAAAATTTGCTCGGAGACTTCAACGAAGTTATTATTATACATATCCACTCGTCATCGTTTTAAAATTTCAACGATTCGGTTTGTCTGTTCTAGTTCAAGATGTTGTTGAATATTGTATATTAAGATGTTTCAGATTTAATAGAGTATACTATTTATTTATACATTACTTTACCCTCGACGTGCTGTACTGGTCAACAATCGATTTTTATCTATTCTAATGATTAAAATTAATTTAAGTGTACACGTTATGGTAAATAGGTACTTGTATATAAACAAAGAACTGATTATAATACATTATATATTTAACGCACACATTGAGATTGTTTATGCAAAAACGTGACGTGGGACCTAGTGGCATGGATTGCATAGTAAATAATCATAACTATACTTAATACGCATTTTATTGCAGTTATCATTAATTAATACTATACGTACTAAATATATATAATTATTATGTATATATTGTATAATGTATCCAACTGCATATTGATGTATATACCCATATGGCCGTACAATATAATATTGTATTCACAGATTCAGGTTGCGATGTATATTTTATATAGGTATATGCATTATGTAGTGGTGAAAAACGTTCTGGAATGTCAAAACGGTCTACGGACATATAGGTGTGGCATTTTGATGACCTTCAGTATCCATTATTATGTTGTTATTTAGTCATTTCGCAGCATAATAATAATCATTTTAATAATACACCACTATATTTAATATTTATTATTCGATATTATGTATATTTAGGTACACACTTGTATCTTTAGTCTGTTAATATAAGCAGGCATTCGTTGCGATTTATGATGTATACCCTTTGTGGGTATAACTGATATATGTTACAGTATTACGGTATACCACAAGAACAGTTTTAATTATAGCTATTGCATAGGTACTTTAAGTAAATAATAATTGAAAAATAGCTATATAAATATAATTTCAAAAATACTTATTATTTTTAAAAATATTATGTTTTTTAGTTTCTCCGGTAGGTAGAAAGGTTCTGACATACGTGAATTATTTAAATATTTGCAGTTCTAAAACAATATTTATATTATAGATTAAATTTATATAAGTAAATTAAACTTATATAATCCAGTGGAAAATTATTTTTGATAATTTTTTGTCTAATTTTAGTTTTGATTAATTATTGAAATAAAATTTGATTTTTTGTGTATCGATCTATGTTGTTTTGGGCACTTTATTATATTATTTATATTAATAGGTATGTAGATTTAACAGTATAAAAGCCATTTACGTAGGTACATATGTATAATTTCATCACGAAACAACAATAAATTTAATTACCATTCGTCGATACTATCCGCATATTATAATATGTTGAAGCATATATGTGTTTAAATGTATTATAATACACACTAATCGGTCTAAATAGCTTTCGGATGTAGATAAATAAATATCTAACTCGGGTGAATGAGAATGTGTTTTTATACTGTATGAGTTCATTGTCATAGTATCCCGTAGTATGCTGAGGGTAAAACGGAAATGTTTACCAAGCTATTCATAATATTATATTGCTATACTTTATACCGTGAAGTGCTCTATGATATTATGATTTTCATTTCGTTTTCGAGCTTTATTGACAAGGGCTAGCCGCTAAATTTGAATTGTTGAATTGATGAATCGATTAATTAAACTATTTAATTGCATTATATTTAAGATATAATAATAATAATCGAGATAAGAAAATAAACACAAAATATTTACTACTTACTTAGTTAGTACTTTTACGAAAGCATAGTACTTAAAAGTTTAAGAAAAAGTGTTAACTACAAATATATTATTTTAATAATATTAAACATATTTAATAATTTTTAAACACATTTAGGCCCTCAAAAATCAATCAATTAAATGCAATTGAAAATGAAAGTTATTTTTTTTTAAATGTTTAATATAGTATTTACTATTTTTTTTTTATTAATAACTAATTCATACTTATTCGAAAACAAAATTCAAGAGCCGAAAAGTTGTTGGGTTGGAAGATTAATACATTTCGATAAGAAACACTTTTACGATAACGATTTCTCTTTACGATTTACTCTAGAAGTCTAGACTCTATATTCTCGTCAATATCGTTCGTTTGTTCACAATTTTCAATTAATTTTATATTAATTGATTACTAAGGGTTAAAATATTAGATAGCTATTTAGTTATGTTATTATACCATACATTGTGTTTACGTGTTACTACATGTGTAATAATTCTATACATCTTCCGAAAAACAATACGTATATATTAATATATATATATTATATATATATATATAATTGGGTATAAATCACATAAAAATACCATTAACAACATTGATAAACTATAAGTGTAACTTACATGTTATAGCTCATAGGTACTATCCATTTAAAATATGATGACGCACCTTTATACTGTCTATTAATTGTTAATTGTTTTAAAATAATCTTCCAAAAGTAGATATGTATTAGAATTTTATTTATTTTTGTAACTTTAACCTTAAGGCTAAAGGTTAAGTAAATCGTACTTTTGTTGGTAGGTATACTCGATTAAATGTAATGAAAATAATTAAATGATGATGGCCTCTGATTTAATACGACCGCACAGGAATCTGTTAGCAACGCATTCAGAAAAAAATATTATAATGGCACAACACTGCATAAGAATACAAGATAGGTAGTTGAAAGTATTCCAACAAACGGTTAAACTATCATGTTGCATGTATAATATAGGTACCGGTGAGTTAAAAAAAAAACTTTGCACGTTAATTTGTTTCAACGGATTTACGTTGAAATTTTAATACCTGCAGACTGCAGCTTTATGCCTAATGTCCTTATGTAAGAACAAAAATTCTTGAAAATAAAAATGCAATAAAAAAAAAAAACTCTATGCCGATATTTGTAATGGAGTAATGAAAAAACAAATAATATAAAATACAGTATGTTTTTATACTTTTATTGTATAGTTTTTATATCGACCTTTTAAAGTAACAACTACTTACATTTCCCAATATTGCAATACACCTATTATACTGTTATACTATTATAATATAGTTTCATCTGTGATTCGTCGCATAGTTTTTAAAATGTTATTCATAACAATTTATACCATTTAACAGAACACTGTGAATACCGTTATTTTATATTTTATCAATCAATTTAAGTTATTCAGTTGCATGCCTACTTTAAATCTGTACGTGACAAATGCAAACTAATCTTTAAAGAACATTTATTAGCATCTGTTTTTTTTTCGTATTCACTAAATTTCCATCAACTCGAAACAATTGTATAATTCTATAACAATGTAGAGTACAAATAATTATTTAAAATTTTGTTTATAATGTTTACATGCTCGTTAGTCGTTTCATTTGTGTTTATATACCTAAATGAAAAAAATAATGAATAATTAATGAATAAAAAATATTTTAACAATTTAATTTAAATCATATCGCGTGTAGTAGGTATTATATTTTTATGTTGATATTTTTTTGTTTGTAATAATATAACAAGATAATTAAGTAGGTATATGTCGTCATAATCTGCAGTATATATTTATTAATTCCTATATGTTTATAAAACAATAGTTAATATATTAATATTTTATTTATTATAATTTGTGTTATAAAATAAGCTTTAAATATCCTGAAATATTTTACAGAAAATATATAATTACATATTTTATACTTGAGATTTTGAAAGAAAATAGCATTTCAAAATATTATCACAAACTAGTAGGTATGCAGATGTATACGTAAACAACCTGCATGGCACAGCGGCCAACTGGTTATACACTTTAGATATAGTAATATGTATTCCAGGTTAAGAGTTGAACCGTGTCAAGCATAGCTACATTCCGGATGGGTGACGATAGTAAATGGCATGCCAATTACACATTCTCTTAGATCGACGATTACGATAGTTAGGTATAATATCATTAATGGGCGTTGGAATACTAAATAGTAAATACCTACGAGTATTTATACGTTTGAAGAAAAAAATATGAATGTTTTTATTAATGAAAAACGTATCCATACCGACACGAGTATAACACAGTATCGAGTATTTACATTATAAAACATTGAATTTATAATTTTTATGCTGAAATAGTTGGTGTAGAAGTATCAAACCTATACGTCAGTTTTCAAAATAATTTACGGGTGCTTTAATATTAAAGAAAGTGAAAGAATCTAATTATATACAACTATCATCGGTAATGAAGAATTATTATTGCAGTTATAGTTTAATGTATAATTGTTAATAGTTGATGTAATAAATTGTTTCTAACAATAAACAAGACCGGCTGTCTGAATAATGTCAAACTAGTTTCTTCTAATGCATGAAAAAAAATATATATATTTATAACAAAATAGTAACTATAGCAAAACTACCTACATATAAAAGGTATAGCTGATAATATGATTTAAAAATTGTAAGGATCTATATTGGTTATTAATTAATTGTAGGTGCTTAATAACATTTCTGTGGTATAAAAAATGCATTTATTTGATTCGAGTTTTAAAATAAACATTTTTTGAAAAAAACTGTGTAAAATAGTTTATTTATAGAATAATATATTTTATTTATTAATATTTTTAATAATCATGTAAATGATTAATATTTATTTATAAATCTAAAATATATTAAAAACTTTGTTTTTCTAGAAATAATTATTATTGATTCATTTGTTTACTGAACATTTTATTTTTTTTTTCATCAATACAATTCATTAGAAAAATATTAATCTATTAAAGAAAAAAATAAATTAAATTTATTTAGAAATTGTATTTCATGATATACCTATTGTACCTATTTACTATGTGGTAATCGAAATTATTGTGGAGATAATATCATCTTTTTGTATTACTTTTAACTTAAAATTGAAACTACATTCTTCCGTTCTAAATTTTAGGAAGATAAGCAATGGGACTTGGGAGTAATGGATCTGGGATTACACAGTAATATAATATGATATAGATTCTATGTTATTGAAAATTATACTACTTACCATGAAGTCTACATTATACTCTTTTGAGTACATACCTAGTAATTTAAGTATGTAGTGTGTACTTATACATTTGTATCTGTGATAATAGACTGATCTTATTAGTTATTACTTAATACTATATAATATCCACCATAATCGCATTGTTTTATTTTATACAAGTAAATCTATATATCTAACCTTACATTGTTGGGGCCAACTGAACGAATGCAATTGTGCAGATCTGGAAATTTTAGGTATAAAAAATGGACTACTTTGAGAATCAATATTTGATGCATAATCTACTTACTCTTACGGCCTTACTGCCCACCCAATTTTATCCAAGTTTATAAATTTTACTTTGTGTTATGAGAATTACTCCTCAATATGGTTTTTCTTTTTAAGTTTTGTAAATATAGATTAAATGATATGGGATTCATTTGTTAATATATAATATTTATATTTTACAATAGTTAAAATCCTAACTTTGAATAAAAATTATATTTAGTAGTAACTTATAATTTATTTTTAAAAATAAAAATAAGTTTTTATAATTTGTGTTTGACACAAATCCATAGAAATATCAGAATATGTATTTATGTATGATATACAGATAATATGATTAGTTGTTATAAATTATAATTAAATATATATTTCTAAAAATTCTAAAAATATGAGTATAAAATTAACACAAAGCCACATAAGTACAATTTAATAATTTATAATTTGTACTTATGTCAACTAATATAATATTTGTAATGTTTGTATACAATTGTCTATAAAAACTTGTTTAAAATATTACTATAAACTACTAAATACTATATATTTAGTTAAAATAAACAATACATGGATATTCCTATAGATAGAAAAGTAAAGAAGGAATTTTTAAAAAATACCTTTTTTCTATATTATGTTTAAGAAATTTTAAAACTATTGTAATCCATAAACAATGTTTATAAAACCATGATATTATATTTTTTCCTTAGTATATGAATAATATAATTCATTTAAGTATAATAATCAAAATTTTTGAAATTATATAATAAATTCATATTTATAATTTGTTTTTATTTTAGGCTTAGATGTTGCCTCAATTTACTGCCTTAAGAAATGCCTGGATTGAAAGATATGTCGATGCAGCAACCAGGAAATAATAATAAAAGGTATATTTCAAAATTTTATAATATGTAAATCTAACAAATATCAAAATTGAATTATATTTATATTACAGAGAGTTAAACGAAAAACCAATAATGCCTTACCATCGAAACAGCGTCAATTCTAATGGATACTCAACAGGTACACACGATCATATTAGTCATTTAATAATTTGAATTAATCATTTTTTTTAATTTTGAAGACGGAGGCCAACAAAGTATTGCTGGCGAGGAAAGGAATGGTGATGAAAATAATTCAGCTCCAACTTATGTAATTGAACATTTAGCCACATTTACGGTTTCAAAAAGTACTGGTATAGTTTACCCAGCTGATGGTATGAGAAGACTATTGCACCTTGAAAAATCGAACGGTATTTGGTCACAAAAAATGCAATTGCGTCTTGATCAATCTTGGGTTTTGATAATGGATTTTGAAACGGGCGTAAGTAAAATACATTGATAACTATAAAATATGCTTATATATTTTTTTAAATAAATTACTATATTTTTTGTTTAGGTTGTTATGGAACGATTCCCTATTTCATTAGTAAAAGAACCAACTGCTTTTACAAGCAATGATCCAATGGAAATTTATAACAATATTCTTGTATTCGTAGTTGGTCAAGTTGATTCTCGATCGGAAATGCATATATTTCAAGTAAGAACAAATAAATTATGTACTTAATAAATTTTACATGGTTTATTGTAATTTAATAAAAAAAAATATAATTATGTAGGTAATACCTACTACCTACAATATATACAACATATTTTTTAAGAATATTGTTCAATGTTATGTAAATGACTTTAGAAATGAAATTATTGAAACTAATTTTATCAGAATTCTGCCCAAAGAATATTTATTTTTAAATAGAAAATAAATAATAACTAATTATTTGCAATTTTTACATACATGTATTAAAAATAACAAACTTAATGTTTATTTTTGCAAACACAATTAATAGCAAATGGCTAATAGGGCCATTAGATTATTACCAATATATAATCGTTTTTTTTTTTTTTTAAATGATTACCTATATGAGTATATTATTGTGGTTGAAAATAAATTATCACATATTAATGCCTAGAAGAAAAATAAGCATGAAATAAAAAAATTAAATATTATTTAAATATTGATTGATTCAGGTTCAACTATTCATATTTCGGCATTCGTGTAGCAGGTGATCTACTACCTCTTTTTAGGTGTATCAGGTGATCTACCGTAGTATACAAGGTGTAATTGGTGATCTACAATTATTATATTATATTATATTATACTATTATTATATTATATTATATTATACTATTATTATTCGCACATTATCGCAGACCGCAGTGGGACAGTATTGCGATAACGATTAATGACATTTACAATATGACTACGAGTCATTAGCAATGTTGCTGGATAGGTTAGTTTCAAATTGTTCGTTGGTCGGAGATTGTCTATAATGCGTGCGTTTGAATTTTATAAAATAATTGCTGATGAAAAATCAACTGTAAATTTTTTACAACTTCACAATTTACTTCCGAATGACAGTGAAACGCCAAATTGTAAAAAATGTGATTCCGAAACAAAAATTGTGATCAGAAAAAAACGACTGGCTTCTGGTGAACAACGTGAGTACCAAAGTTTAAGATGCGTTAAAAAAGGATGCCAAACATTCCAGTCTCTGCGTCAAGACAATAAATTTTTTACTCATACGGATTTGAATAACAAATGTAATTCTAAATTGTCGCTGGGACAAATTTTAGAGTTAGTTTTTTACTGGTCAGTAGACATGAGTATTGTAAACGTTTGTCGGCTTACAGGACGTTCTAATAAAACAGTGGTAGACTGGTACAATTTATGCCGCGATGTGTGTTGTACTATTTATGAAAATCGGAAACCTATGGGTGGACCTAATGAATGTGTTCAAATTGACGAGTCATTACTACGAGGGAAAAGAAAATATAATAGAGGCAGGATTCTACTGGGTGATCATAGAGGTGCAAATTTGACGGACGACGATAGTTCTGATTCTGATTCTGAAAATATTCCTCCTAATAACAGGAATAGAAATTATGGCAAACGAGTAGAAGGACCTTGGGTTTTTGGAATGTATTGGCGGCATGATGGTTTTCTTGAAAAACGTTTTTTTGTTGTTGAACGTCGAGATAGAGCTACACTTATTCCAATTATTGGAAAAGAAATACTCCCAGGAACAACAATAATGTCAAATGAATGGAAACCATATACAATTTTACAAAATACAGGTTATAATCACTTGACTGTAAACCATTCTAAAAACTTTGTCGACCCACTAACAGCAGCCAACACCCAGACAATAGAATGCGTTTGGTCACATCTGAAAATGAAAATACTTCGAAAAATGCATGGCACTACATCGGAACTTTTACCTCGACATCTGATTGAAGCATGGTGGAGATCAATTAATGTTGAAAATACTTTTTTTAAATTTTTAAATGATATTAAAAACGTTTACTGTAATTGAAATTATTATTATATTTAGCTAATTATTTTTTATTTTTATATTTAACGAATATTTGTATAATATGACGTACTCGTAATAAAAAAATATAATGTGTTTTTATACTATTAAAACGTAGATCACTCGTCCTGAATTCGCAGATCACCCCTCTGCGGTAGATCACCTGCTACACGAATGCCCATATTTCATTTGTATGAAATACAAATATTTATATATCAGTATATCATACACATTTATATGTATGGACTTGTAATATATTCATTAGAATCATTAGATCATACAATATCAGGTTTTTTTAAAATTATTTTGACCATGGCATGTTTTGTTTTAGAGTCAAAGTGTACCAGCTCAAGAATTAGTTGATGATCTAAAGCTTCTGAGGTCTGGAAAAGGGATTAATAGAAAGACAAGACATGTACCACCACCTCCTCCAACACCACCACCAAATCCACCATCAAACGGTGTCAGTGTTCGAGAACAAGTGTCTGTTTTTAATGCTGTTGCCCATCGTTAGTTTTTTTTTAATATTTAATTATGAATTTAAAACAATGTTTTATTTTCGAATACAATTTATGCATTAATATTAAATGTCTTATATTTGATTAATGTTTAATTTTAATTAAATATATGTACAACATTTTAAGATATAATGATTTTATATTTTAGATTCGGATAATATTACTCGAGTTGATGATGAAACAAGTTCAACTTCTAGTGAAAAATATGAGAGAGATGTTATAGTACTGAATCACTGCTTCGATGATATTGAAAAATTCATTGCAAGGTTACAGCATGCTGCTGCTGCATCTCGAGAACTAGAACGCAGGAGAAGGTAATTTTATAATAATTATTATTTATCTATCTTTTGATTTGTTATCATAATAATAATTATAATGCTATTTATTAAAGGAATCGTAAATCTAAAAAGAAGGATATTGGAGACGGAATGCTAACAATGCGAGCTAAACCACCTCCAGAAATTGAGTTTATTGATATATTTCAAAAATTCAAACTATCGTTTAATCTTTTGGTAAATTCATTATAATAATAAAAAATGAAAAAAATCTTGCATATATGTGTTTAAAAATCAACTATTATAAATAATTGTTACTTCTTAGGCTAAATTAAAAGCTCATATCCATGATCCAAATGCTCCAGAACTTGTACATTTCTTGTTCACTCCATTAGCATTGATTGTTGATGCTTCTCATGACACTCAATATAAACCAAACATTCCATCTAGAGTTGTATCACCTTTACTCACGAGAGACGCAATTAATCTTTTGATGAACTGTGTAACGAGTAAAGAAACAGAACTATGGCATTCTTTAGGCGATGCTTGGCTTATACCAAGGTATTTTTACATTTTTAAATACCTATATTATATTGTTATTATATTATAATTACTATTTCATTATGGCATTGTTCAAATATTTTATGATCTTATAATTAATTATACAAATAATTTTTGATAGAGAACAATGGAAAGGCTATGCGGCTCCTTACCATCCAATTTTTATGGATGGATGGTCACCAGAATATCCAATTCCAGTTTCTGATGATCATTTAACCAACGTTCCAACTACCAGTGCAATTGAATCAAAGAAATCAAGAGAAGAAATTAAAAATTCAAATCCTGAGGTAAAATTGCTGTATCAAAATTATTTAAAAAAAATAAATTTTAATTTAATGATTATTTATTTAATTCCTAACTATAATATGTTTTAGGGAGAATTACGTGACACTTTATATCATCATCGTGACCGAGAACATGCTGGGATAGGTGATGATAGTAGTGACTATTTTGAGTATGAACACGAACAGTCAGCTATGATGGGGATTAGACCACAGTATTCATTTAACACTGGTGGTAATTATTCTGGCCATCATCAAGAGCAATTTGGACCTGATGACAGGTAAGTTAGAAGCTTCAACAAATTTCCCTCTCCTAAATACATATAAGATAATAATAATAATAATAATGATAAGTCATCATTTTTTTTTTATAAAACAAAAATTTGACTAAGAACAATTATGCTGCATTGCTGTTTTTCAATTTTAACTATTATAAATATTTTAAAAGATGTTACCATTTATTTAAAAATCAAATCATAATACAGGATATTTTACAATGAACTGACAATTGCAATAGCTTTTATTTTATTAAACATTTTCAACTTTTTTTTTTCAAATTGTCAATTGTTATCTGTACTACATATTTTAAAGTATTTTTGAATTTTTTTTTTAACATATTATATGCAAAATTAAAAAATTTTCTATTTAATATTTAAAAAATATTAAGATAGCCATTTTGTAAATCCAATTTTTAGAAAAATTTTATTGGCAAAAACTTTTACTAAGATTGAGTCAATAATTTTTAAACATTTTTTAAAGTTTGTTTAAATTCAAATGTATTTCTTGTTTATCAGTGTTGCAGCAATAGTCGATTATCCAGAAAATCTATTTGAAATATTATAAAATTGTGCAAACTTCAAAATATTGTTGAAAATAAATGGCTGAACATTTTTCACTTTTTTTTTTTTTTTTGAGAACGTGTTTTAAAAGTCATTTAAATAAAATGGCTATTTTGATTTTTTAAATATCAAATAAATTATTTTTAATTTTGCATACAAAATTAAAAAAAAAAAAAAATTAAAAAATATTTTAAATGTAGCGTTGATGACAATTAAAAAAAAAAGTTGAAAATGTTCAATAGAATAAAAGTTATTTCAATTGTCAGTTCACTGTGAAACACTGTATATTGGAAATATATAAATCAATACACAATTTTTACTAAAATAAAATTTTAATCAATTAATTAAATTTAAATTTATTCATATTTATTAGAAATTACTTACAAATTATACACAAACTTATAGTATAAGACAGCATGTAAGCAGTATTACTTAAAATAATTAGAATACCTTTTCATTAAAAAAAATGTTCACACAGAATGAATATTATTAATTTAAAAAAATATATAAATGTCACCACTCTTCTTCCACAAAAAAAGTCCTATTTGTGCCTATGGCTGCAAGTTCTCTTTTTATTTATGTAAAATTTCAGAAACCAAAATACTTAAAATAGATAGATTGGTACATAGTAAAAACTATTTTAAATTATTGTTGTCAAACACTTAAAAAAGAGAAAGATTCATTACTGACTAATAGATAATAACTTAAATGCATGTAGGTCTATTCCTTAAATAAATGCCCTTTATCTGTTATTATTGAGATAAAATATTTTTTAGAGATGATTCACATAGTTTGGAAGGTGAGTCTGAACCTGATTTCAATACACTGTCACTTCATAGTCCACCAAGAATGGATAAAGAACGTGTAGATAATATGGCAGCACGCAGTGACATATCTGCCGATTCGATTGAGCGTAATAATGCAAGTGGACCGGGAAGTGAGAGATTTGAAAGAGCTCAAGCTAGATGGTTAGAAGACATGCGAGCTCGAGGTGTGAAAATAGTTCAAGTAACTTATCCAAGGACAGCAAATAATGATAAGGAACTATCAGTTGTACGTGGCGAATTGTTAGAAGTAAGTTCAATATAATCAATGATAACTCATTAGTTTTTAAATATTTAGTTAAGTACATCCTCACAATCAGTATAAATTGTTTGTAAAAAATAGAGATACCAAATATTATTTAAAAGACTAGTAAAATGTTCTATTTTGTAGTTTGTATCATATCATTAGTATAAAAAAATTATGTAAGTATGAAAAAAATTAAACAGAATTTTAAAATGTATAGGTTATACTCAAAAAATATTGGTTTATTGTGCTGTATAAAATTGGTTTCTTATTATGAATGTAATTAGAGTGGTTCTTTTTCAGGTGAAACAGTTTTAAAAACAAATTTAATTTAAGTTAAAAATATATTTTCCATTTAAAACAATTTCTTTTTATATACCCAATAGGTATTGATTATATTAAATATTTATGTAAGTTTTAACATTTCATTAATTTTAGATTTTGGACGATAGTAGAAAATGGTGGAAAGCTCGAAATAACCGTTCACAGGTGGCTCATGTACCTCATACAATTGTTACACCATTTAATCCAATGCTAGACTCAAACGACATATTTACAAATCCAGTGTATGCTAAAGGATATGATAAGAGATCAGCTTCACAAACACAAAATTACACACAAGTAACTTTTGCTGTTCCATAATGTTATTATTACTAATGTCTTTTAGGTACTATTATGTTCATATGAACAATGATTGCAATTCTCAATTTTTTTTAATAACTATGATAACTTAGTGAACATTTGGTTTTTATCTTAGTAGATATAGGCATTATTTGTTCATAAATATTACTTATGATATGTATCTACTAAAAATTAGGTTAGTACACATTATACAAAAAAAGTAGTTATATTAATTTACAATCAATTATGATTTATAGTTTTTGTTCATAATCTATATTTAAAGTTTTTAAATATTACTCTATTATTTAGACTTAAAGAGGTATCTTTATTTAATTAAAGATATTTCATAATTTTTAAATTGGTACATCAATTATTCTTCATTAATTATTTTTAAATATATTTTAATTGACAGAATTATTTACTTAACATTATACAATTTCTACACAGTAACATAAATTTTCAGATTTAAAAAGTTTTTAAAATTTGTCAGTTAAGAGTTTCTTGGTTTAGGAACTTTATTGTTGAAATAATTTATAATACATTATATTAATAAATTATTTGTTATATCTCTACAATTTATTAATTTATATTTCTTTTTTAGGAGTCTATAAAAAGTGAATTTATTGATCAAAGTATGAGTTCTGATCCATCCAGAAGCACTTCTGTACAACCACCAGTTCCAGCACCGGCTGATTGGGTACGAAAAGAACGAATTGGTAAAAAAGGAGAATTCCGTTATTTTTAATAAAAAGAAAAATATTTACATCAATAAACCTTGATTGACATAATCTATGTATTTTTTTTTATTTTTAAGGCGTATTTTTTTGTTTTTATTTGTTATCAAATTTGTTTTGTGAATAAATATATCATAATTTAAATTGCATATTTTAGTTGTTTTAAGACATTTTAATAATTTTTTTAAATTGTTGAGTTTATGTTTTTAATCAGTTTTGTTGTCTTGTATAAATTTATATTATCTTTGATTATAATATAATTAATAAATAATCCATTAAAACTTTTAGAAAATCAATTTTCCATTTTTTTGGTACTTCTCATTTAAATATTAAAATATTATCTACCTACAAATCAAAACCATATGTTTTTAAACATAAACATGTATTTAGGGTTTTGATTTTCTTTTTAACCTTGGCAGTATATAAAAAAAATATTTATTAACTTAATTATTTTCTAATAGGAAAAATTATTATATTATTGAAAATGTAAAAAGCATTATGTACATCATTTTATTGTCCTAGAACATTTTATGTAAATAACATACATTTATTTTTTTAAATTTAGTTAATAAGTTTAATTATAATTTATTTGATTAACTCATTAAACAATAATATTATTCAAATATTAAAATTATTATAATAATATATTTAAATATCATTAATCATTTTTTATTAATTTTATTTCAAAGCCAATTAAAGTTGATTTAAAATCATTAAATTATTTTTTAATAAAGTTATTATATTTTTAATATGTTTTTTACATTTATTTCAGATATATTTTACATATTTATATTTGTTGTTTAGTTTTGGGTATTTAAATACTTCTTTTATATACATTTAAACACAATCTTAAGTCCAATTAAGTTGTGAAAGATAACACGTAAATTAATCAGATTTGATTATCATAACATAGTTTATAATGATATTTATAAGGATACATATTTTAAATGTAGGCATTATTATATATTAGCGAATTATTTTATTATAAATATGCCTACAAAATATTCATTTTTTTCTATTAATATTAAACATTAAAAATGTAAAAAATAAATAAATATAATTATTATTTTAATATCCAATTGTACCTACTTAACTTAAAAATAGTGAATTATATAGATAATATTGTTATTAGAACAAATTCAAATGTTTTATTTTTTGTTATGCATACTTATATTATATTATTTTTAATTTAAATACTATATATATTTCAAAATATATCAACAGGTACCTATATATTAAAAATATACATTATTATATATTATGTAGGTCATGGTTATAATAAACATTATTTTAAATTAGAAAATTAAGCATTTTTAACATTGTATGAAAAAAATATTGATTCATTTATTTTGTCATTTATATTTATTGAACCAATCACTTATGTATGAAAATAATTCAATATTTTTTTTTTTTTTTTTTTTTATCATTAATAATACCAAAGAGATTAATATAACTTGTATGTATAATGAAGTAATAAATATCATGGCCTTCTTATTATTTATTAGACTTCTTTTATTAGTACTATTACTTCATCAATTCTCTGTTATTTGGTATTCTTTACACAGATCTATATTTTTATATTAGTAAGACAGATGAGAACTTTTTTTTTCTATGTATAACTTTATAGTCATAACTCATAAGTTTCCATTTAATTGTTCCCGTCTCCTGTACAATTTTTTAAAATTCTAATTCAATGTATATTCAGTTTCTCCTAGTATTCACACATGGATATTATGTATAATAAATAATTAAAAATATAAAACCTTTATTTTCTGTCAATTATTTAATTTTACTTTAAACTAATAACATTTTTAGTTTCTAACTTCCTACACAATAACTTCACTTGGTAAACAATTTATATTTATATTCTGTTTTTATTTTTTTTATTTTATAATATTGTTGTTTTATATTTGAAATGAGCAATTTTCTTTGCAACACACTTGTATACGTTCACAAAAGTGACTCTGGAGTGTATTTTTTATTTTTTTTTTTTGGTGTGGGAGGAGGGGGTTGAGGTTGTTTGTTTTCGTACTTAAGTTACAGAAAGTTCATAGTCTTGTAAAGCACTATAGCAGTTCATAAATACAAAATAGGTATGTCTAACTTAATTAAATACTGATAAAATCAACTATTATAATAGTAGATATGTGATAATTTACAAATATCGATGTCCATACTCTCAATGTTTTCAAAATTCTTTAGAAAGAAATGAATTTTTTCAAAAAAAAAAATTTAAAAAAATTAGTTAATAATTTGCACCATAGTATTAACAAAATATTATGCAATTTTTTCCAGAAAGTAAAACGCTGCTTAAACATATATATCTATATTGCCCGTTTTAATAGAAAAATTCACGATTGAAAGGATTTCAATTGATTTTCAATTATTGGTTTATTAAGGATTCTTTCTTAAACAAGATGAGAAAAACTACACACCTAAAAATAAAACCATAAAAACGATTTAAAATAAAAAAAAAATATAAGATAAACTTCTGATGTTAATATAGATAAACCTTTAAGCCATCTGCTGTTATTGAAAAATTTACAGTTTTCAACTAAATATATTGGATCATATGATAGATAAATATAATACACATCTTTTCCTCATTACGTATTCTTGGATTTTGTATGTTTTTAGTCCGAAAAAATACTATAATGATTAATGATAATGTATTAATTCACTTTTTATCTGTTATACATAGTAAATCTTAATTGTTATTGCTTTGTGACATACAAATAAACAATAAAGGTTAGGCTAGGTTAAGCTACGAAAAATGTTTAATGTTGGTCTTTAGGTCTGTATAACTCAATTATTTGTATTCTTTATGAATTTTCAAATTAATATCTAATGAGTAAAGACTGATATCTTGAACGAAGTTAGCGAGATTTTTTGGATAAAAGCTTCGGACTGCAAGCCACTTAATTGAGAACGAAGAAACAAGTAAAACAGTTTTTCTATTAACTGTAGTTTGTATAACACAAATATACTAATGCCATCATGAGATAGCTACCTAGAGATTTTTTTATCTGCTTTGTTTGTTAAATTTCAACAAATTACGTTCGATACGCTGCAGCATCATTTAAATAATTTGAATTTGTCGCATTAAAATAAAATGTATGTTTATGTTTATTTAACACCCTAAAATTAATTTAAATACAATTTAAATATAATTAATTACCATCAATTAATGTCATAAACAAATATTTATTTGGCCCTCAAGGTATCATGGATAAGACTTACATATATAAATCAAAAGGTGTCAAGTTTTTTTTTTTATTAGAATACCTAATAACATAATTTTTTTATTGTTTTTCGTAATTTTTAATAATTGATAACTAGTTTTTTTCCTTTTCTATATTTTTGCATATGACTCTTTGAACCATACTATATTCAATTTCTAATACACAAGAATGAAATTTGTCAAGTTTTTATACTTCTTAAAACTGTTTTTAATAACATTACTAGTCAGATCACAGTGAGCTAATTATTCACATTAATTGTATGGATTCATTTAACTAAATAGAGAAAAAACATCCTGTAACTTCATATTTATGTGGTACTATAATATTCAGAATATACATAATTCAAAATAAGTTCATAAACAATAAATAAGGCGTACAAATATAAAATGTATTTTTTATTTGTTATTGTGTGAATAAAATAAAGTTGTTATTACAATTTATAATGTAACTTAAAAATGTATTGTATACAAATGAATTACATATTTTATTTAAACTATTTAAACTATCCTATGGTTTATTATAGTAATAAACTATTATAATATATTGTCTAAAGTACATTTTCACAAGTACATATAATAATAATTTTGTTCAAATATGGGTATAGGTAAATAACATAAATATTAAATAAAACATGCAGATGTGGTAAGAATATTTTTTTGACAATGAAAATATTGGTTTATGAAAAATACTGTTCATTAACCATACCAATGCAATTTGGCCATTTATTCCATTATAAATATTCATAAATTTAGAAATTATTAATAAATTGTGAGTGTATGTGTGTGTGTGTGTATGTGTGCGTGTGTGTAACAATAATTTTATAATGCAAATGATAAGCTTAAATCAACAAGTCAAACATTTCTTGACAAAGTTTTTTAATTTTGAAAGGATATACTTTACTAAGTTAACAATACGTGATGTGATTTGATAAGATAATAATTTAGTTTATACAGTTACCAAGTATAATTGCCATTTGGTGGTAAATTTATAATAATAATACAACTTATTTAATGACAGCTATACAATTCAATTTATACTTATAAAAATGAAAAGAATTAAGATCATTATATTTTTTTTTGGTATTTAACAAACTTCACAACAAAAATAACTTTAAAAAATCAGTAGAAAACAAAGCATTTATTAAATGTTGACTAATTTTCTATACATACTATTTTTTTCTCAATAATTAGAATGAACAAAATTACGTGTATTTTATTAACTAAGATGTGAATACAATAAATTAGGTAACTAATAAATAAACAGTAACTACTAAATATTTTACTCGATGAAAAATAATATTAGTTAAAGGGAGACTGAATTAAATTTAAATAGTTTAAATAATTATTAAAAAAAATTAATGTAATTCTCCTTAAACTAGAAGTGAAATATAATTACAATAAATCAAAGAGTAATACTTAATTGATTTTTACAATCGTAATAGTCAGAAAATGACCAAAATTAATATCATTCATACATAGCGTTGTCTACATAACTACATCTATACTATTTAATCAGACTTCAAAACATTAAAACAAAATTTGTTTTTTATAAGACAGTCAATAATGACATATAATAATTAAATTTTGGCACAATTTACCGACAAAGTGTAAGTTAGGGATAGAAAATATAAAAAAATACAAAATTTGAGCAAAATCAACATTTTAATGTTTTTTACTCAATGATTTGCCAATCATTATTTAAAAAATTTAAACTTACAAAACTCCAATTAGAAATACACAGTTAATTAAATAATCGTTTTAATGATTAACTTAAAAACCAACTAATTAATAAATATTAAACACAAACATAGGTAATTCTATGAAATTAGAACATG